TTTTTATCATCCAAAATTCATTTTATCTATTGCAATATAATAAATAATAATCTATAATTGATTATCATTATATATTAGTTGTGATCTATATAAATTAAATTAATTGAATCTAATTTGAATATTGATTTTTCTTCTCTTTTTTTCGCTTTTGATTTGTTGTTATCATAATTATGCCTAGAGAAAACCATATGTCCAAAGTTGTTCGCCTCACTCGCTCTGGTCATAAAGATCCTTCCTGGGAGACCATAGTAATGCTTCAAGAAAGAGTTAAAATTTTGAAGCATTTGGCACGTCGTGAAGAGAAAGTCAAGACCTTGCAAGAAAAGGTTATTAAGTTACAGGCTGACTTAGAAAAACTTTCAGATGCTCGGACCCTTCACTGTCACAATAGAGAGTTGGAGTTGGAAAATTTCAATTTGAAGAACAGGGTAGCTCGGTTGAAAGAACTCCTTCAACTTTTAGAAACTTCTGCCCCTGCTCCTTTTGACCGGTCCTTTTCCACCTTTGAATTCAATTAAAGGTTTGCTTTTTTTGACCTTGGTGTTTTGTTCTGTTCAATCTAGCTTTATGAATTCATTACAAGAAATATAGTGGTCACTGAGTATGCTTTGTGGGCCAGTTGTAATGAAAGAGGAGAGCTTAGTAGGCCCTCTTCATTACACTATATTTCTTGCTTGCTTCTTAGTTTTCAGATTCCTTTCTTCATTCAAGGGTTCAATAATACTTGTATTTGGGCAAGTTGAGGACTGGACTATTATGGAATCTACATCCACGTTATATAGCCTGGATGCTGTATTTCATACAGTAGCTAAAGGATACCTTAAAATTTCAATGTTTCTTATTAAAAATGTAAAAATAATAATGATAATAAAATAATAAAGTTTTAATAAAATTAAAAATATTTATGTGAATAAAATGAATATATTATTGTGCAAAATAAATTGAAAGAATAGTATTAATCATTTTGATAATTTCATAAAATACTATAGTCTCAAACATCATCCTGCTACAATTTTGTATTTCATGACTAACCAGCCTTTAACCAGATATGCTATGGATTCCTAAGAATCAAGATCATTTATGGCTATGTAATGGTTTTATGAAATTATCAGAACAAAATAATAATATTTTTTTTCAAATCATAAAAATAAAAAAGTAAAATGATATGTATATTACTAATGCTAATAGAGTATAAGGAATAATCAAAGGAATAACGAAGGAATTATAAAAAGGTAAGGGTAAAAAGAGGTAAGATAATTATTAACTTTGCTTTTGTCTTTATAGAATCTTGATAGTGCGATATGGTTTGATCACGATGGGGTAAGATCAGTATATGTATGCTAATGGTTTTGATAATGTATATTAACCATGTCTTTGTAGGTCTTGATATGGCTTCGTGGGAATGGTTGGTTAGTTTGGCGGCAATAAGCTTTTCCGTAAGCTTTTTTTTTCGTCATCTTTATCAGTTGGTGATACTTTCTGTTGTCATTATTGTCATCACAGTTTCAGAAGGACATACTTTGTCAGTAGGATATTGAGATCTGTCAGATAAAACTACATTGGTGATAGGATAGACATCAGCATGATGGTTGTGAAGGTGATGGTGGTAGTATTCATAATTGATGTTGATAGTACATTCCGGTGTTTAATCATAAGAAAGCAGGGCAATTGTTGTAAACTGATCCATTCTCGAGATCATACTCCAACTGGGTAACATCATCACAGCTACTTCATCGTTTACATCAACTTCCATCAGCATTTTATCTTCTGAAAATTCAAGCTGTAGTAGAACCTTGACTACTGTAGTCTTTGTACTTTTCCAACCTTTCCTTACCCATCCAGCTACCTTAATGTTACTGTCACTTCCACTGGAAATATATATTTTTTTGATTGAATAGGTGTTCGTTTACTCGTGGGGGGCGCAATCGTGATCATGATCGTGATCACGATTATGATAGCATCCCAGTATTCACATCGGAGCTGACATCTTCTTGAGGTGAGGTAAGCATTCCGTTTGTTATATCCACTTTTTTTGTTTTTGGATGGTTAGTTCTTTCTCTAACCACTCTTGTTTTTTTTTTCTTTTCATGTCAGTGCCTTCTTCACAGTCTTGTCCCGGTATTTCCAATCATCAGAATGATATATCTCTCATCAGTCATTTATTACTGTGGAGGCTTGTCGAAGTATTAGACTTTCCTTGCTGCTCTGACATCTTTGAGAACATATATGCATGTATATACAGTATATTCTAGATATGCTTAACTTTTGTAAACTTCATATGATAAACATTTTTTCTTCATGATTGTAATCATGATCTCGATAATGATGGCATTCAGTGTTTGCATTCTTTTGTTTTGGTGCAATTCTAATAAGTCACAGCATTTGTGGCATTTTCTTTATTTTGCTACATTTTACTATTGGCTTCTAACTTTTTTTTACCAGTCTTTCTTTATTCTTGACGTCCAATTCACTATCCGTGGGTTCTCCTTGACCCTCGGCGATATCCATGTCCCTGGCTTAACTATTAAAGTCTCGTCAGTAAGTTTGGTTTTTTGCTTTTGGTTTCTTTGCCATTCTTCTTTTTACTGGATGGTCCTTTCTTCCTTTTAGAAACTTGTCCCTTGTTTCTTTCAGCATCACAACTTTTTTTGTAATTATCGGTACCAACGATTTATTGAAAGGTAAGTGGTCTCTTTTCTCTCTTTTCTTTTCTTTTTTTCTTTTTTATTTTTTTATAATTATCATTATAATTATTGTTTTAAAGGAAATGGCCAATACTAATCTGTCATTTTCTCTTTGTACGTTGGAGGTACATCGAATTTCTCGTGATCATATGGCATACCGGCCATATCCTCAGGGCCAATGATTCGCTGTAAGGTAAGTATCTTCTTGGCTGTTAAGATGGATGAGAACACATAGTTTCTTTGGGAATGATGTAGTGCAGTATTATTTTTATTCATCATTATTTTTTTTTTGTATTTAATTTTTTTAGGGGAGGCGTATATACTGCCGATCCCATGGTAGTCATTCTTTAGGCTTCACTTTTTTTCTGTACAAGCCATTCCGGAGCTTCTATCGTTGAATTTGGACTTCTTTTAGGTCGGAACGATGCTTCTTCATCTATTCGGCATATATCAGTAGCCGAATTCTTCGTAGGTATCATTTTTGAAGCGGAATTGATTTTTGTTTCTCCGATCGTCGCGGATACAACGTTGCTTTTATTACTTTTTGAAGATTAAACTTCCTCAGAGCAATTTCTCAGGGATGGCAATCAAAGAGTGTTCCATTTTTGAGACCTGATTGTTGAATTTGCGTCTAATGGATAAGATGTATCTCACAGTCACTATCAATTTGTCATATATCGTTCTACCTCAGGAGAAAGATATATATAGAAAACTAATAGCAGAGAGATACTTTGTATAGATGGACTAATGTGGTATGCAAAAGTTTATAAGGGTATACTAAAATTAGTACAGTTCTGAGGTATATAAGGTCAAGCAAAAGAGGCAATGGTGATTTGTTTTATAAAGGTCAAGTTATTTTATTAATAAAGAGGAAAGTTCAACCTTGCAATTCCAAGAGGAATTGAAGATATTTATATACATATTTTTAATATATGATTGGCATATATGATAGTAGTATATGTTAGTAAAGATAATAATTATGGAAGAGATGGTATCTTTATCAAAATAGTCAAATATACTAATATTGGCAGAGATAAATACTCTGGCAAAAATAACAAAGTGATAATAATAAATAAAATTAAAGAATATTTCAGAATAGGAAGAAATAGCTAAGTAGGTAAAGTAGATGAAAGTATTACAGTAGATCAATAGTACAGAAATTCTAAAACAAGAAAAGGATATTTCAGGATTAAATGCTAGTAGATTGTTTTAAGAATAAATAAAATGTTAAGTGAAGATCAAGTGTAACAATATGAAAATTATAAATTAATTGAATCTGATTTGGATTGAGTTTTTAATAATTTTATTTAAAATTAGAATCGAATTGAATCAAATCGAAATCGAATCGTTTAAATTTAATTTTTTTAATTTAAAAATCGAATCAAATTGAATCAAATCGAAATTTTATTGTTTAAATTTAATTTTTTAAATAAAAGAATCAAATCGAATTGAATTGAATTATTTAAATTCGATTCTAAATAAAATTGTTTAGATCCTTATCTAAATGTATATCTATATATATACAATAATAAAAGAATTAATGTTTACCAAAAAATAAAAATAAAAATAAAATAAGCTTATAGAAAAATTATATAAAAAATTTTAAAAAAAATCAATTTAATTTTTATATAAAAAACAAATAAATTTTTATAAAATATAAAAATATATATATTAATAAAAAACTTTTTTTTTATTTCTTTAATTTTTTGAAAAACTTTTTTTTAAAAAATTTTAATAATACAAGAAATTAAACTTATCAAGTTATTTTTATTATTATTATTATAAAAATAAAAATTCTTTTCTAAAGTAAATATACTATTTTTTTATTTTAAAATAAAAATAACTTTGTTAAAATTGATATAATCATTTTTTTTATTTCAAGACTTATATACAAAACCAATTTTAAAAATTTAATTATAAAGATTTAAGCTATATAAATAATACTTTTAATTAGATTTTTCAAAACTTGAATTCTTTTTTTAATAAAATAGAAAAAAAATTTTAGTTTAATATATTTTTTTTATATATACAATAGTATACAATATTTTTTGAACAAATTATTTTTATTATAAATAAACAAATTCTTATTTAAATAATTTAAAATTTCAAATATATATTTTTTAATAATTAAAAATAGTTTATTTTAATTTTATTATTAACTATTATAAAATTTATTTTAAAATTTATTTTTAAATCAAAAAATTTCAAGTTTAAAATTTTTTTTTTTTTTTTTTTATAGTAGAATGGCATTAGATGCAGGGATTTTATTGAAGTAATTATCAATGTTACATATA